AACATATACTTTCTAAATATGAAAAGGCATTACCAAATATATTTAGAGTAGCAAAAAAGAAACTTCTATATTAGGTACTTGATTCATTGTGCTATATATTTAGGTGAATAGTGCTTATAGAGAAAAATAGTGTGTGACGTGCGCTTCATTTTTTCTACTTCATTATTTGATTTCAAAAAACTTTTTAAATAGATCCAATAAGTAAGAACTGTGGCTAAGACTAGGGAAGAATAGATATAACTCACATACCTTCAAATTGCAGGCAATATTAAAGTTCAGTGTTTACTAGTAAATAAGACATACCAAGTAGCATCGATTCGAAGAAAGTCAGGAGTAGTGCCCGGCGTGACCAACTTTTTTGGTCACAGTCATGAGGGGTTGATCACGGTCACGGTCATGGGCCTGGCTCACCGTGACCGTGAGTCACGGCCCTTCTTTATAGTTTCTCAACATGAAGAAAAAACTTTCCAGAAAGAGCTATTGAAAAGTTTACCTAGGGAAAATTCTTGATGTTTCCGTACCAGGTCCTTTATGGATTCAGTTAGGATCCTCCCAAGATTTGCTCTTTTTTCCTGAGGAAACGACGAAATCCTGAAAGAAGTGTGTAGCCACGGAATTTAAAGATCCTACAGAATTCGAAAAAGGATTACATCAGGATCCTGAACAGGTTACCATTGTTGTTGAACTTGGAATAATTTAGAAAACAAGATGGGGTTGTAAGTGTGAGCAGAAGTACTACTTGTATTAACTGGCCAGAACAGTCACTGATATACTCTCTTGTTGGCTTTCTGTTGCGACGCTCCTCAGTTTTAGCTGCAAAAGCTGACTGGGTCCTTGCACCAAGATCCGTATCAGATCTTGTCTAAAATTTGATAAAATCTTGAGAGAATCCTCTCCATTATTCCTGTTAGGATCATAAGCAAAATCATGAATGAATCCTTGAAGGATCCTGTATTCATTATCTACAAATACATCTGGCTAGGAACGGAAAGAAATCCTAAACAGGATTCTGTATAACTGACAAATCCTGGCAGCAGGAATTGAGCCTGGATCCTGAGGAAAACTTGACAAGATCTTGGAGATTCAGGATCCTGACAGATTCTTGCAAAATTTCTCACGTAATGAACAGGAGTGAGACTAGGGTTCTGTTTACTACTAAAAGTGATGATCGGGGAGGGTAGCTTTGCGGAGGTACCCGTACTTCCCCACAGGGGTTTCCAAAATCACAAATACTAGAAACTTCCCAATTTTTCATAAAAACCGATGGCTGAGTGGGGGGGATAGCTTTGCGAAGGTCCCCCTACTCCTCCTCAGGGGTTTCCAAAATTTCGAAAAAGTTCCCGTGACTGACCATAACCAAGCTCCAGTCACGGTCACGATCATGAACTTTTATAAAGTATTTGTCACGGTCACGACCGTGACCATGACTGCCGTGAGTCACGCCGGGCACTAATCCGAACACCCCCATGTTTTTCCGTGTTTGTTGGTTTGCGAAGCAGAAATAAGGGATAAACTTTTTCTTATTTCACCAGTGGATAGTCCATACTTCGAGCTAAGTTCTCTATAAAAATCAGCAATTTTCACTATGATCTCGAATTACCAGAACGTTTCTCATGAAAATGCTCAATTTTCCAATATGATAGTTGCTCGCTTTTCTGACATCAGAATTATATTATTTGCACGCTGCTAGAACGAGTAAAGCGAGCTCTATCTGTTGGCATCATATTTCAATGAAGAAAAAAAAATTATCTCTTGTTTCTGCTTCGCGAACCGCGAAATACAAAAAAAACATGAGTGTCCGGATACTTTTTAGAGTACCTGTACGTAACAAAAATGACCACAGTGACTTCATTTCTTATAAAGTTAGAGCTCTTCTTTTCTATAGCCACCCACCAGACAGAATCGTTCTATGTTGATGAAAAACAACACTCTTTCTTGACAGCAGAGTATCTTCATTAGGTCAATCGAAGGAAAGAGGAAGTAATAGAATGTTAACTCTTCGAAAAGAATACTGACTGTGTCGGCATATTGTCTCTCGTAACTCTCTCGAAAAGAAATCTGAAGTGATAATTGGAATTGCTTTCGCAGCTGAGGTTCGATAAATGTGTGATTCTCATTCGGTTGAAATATATTCAACTAGGTCAAAAAAGAAGCTGCAACTCGAGTGCCTTATAAAAAGAATTTTGATTGTTAGATCTATAAGTTTGATTTTAGTTTGGTCTTAGAATATGCACTTGTCTGTGGCACTGCTGATCAATGTCAATATCGTACAATTCAAAACGGATATACATCGAGTTTCTGATATAGATCATACTGCAGCAGGTGCTAAAGATATTTCATGTTTTGCTTAACTGAGGAAATAGGACTTGGCAATTCATGAAGCATAAATGGCAGTGGTACTTCACGCAGGTGAATAATGTACAAATTTCCCATGCTGCTCAAATGGCTGATGACTTGGAAATGTGTACATGGAAGAAGTAATATTTCCTCTTCCTGTGAGAAATAGGAATGATGCCTAAGATCTTTTCCATTTAGACAGTCGATTGCGAATAAAGTACGTGGGCCTGATGTGTCCAAATATTGATCGCTTTCCAGAACGTTTATTGCAGTCGTACAAAAGCTAAATCCCCACCATGTAACATTGCGACCCTGTTGGGAATGCGCGCGTAAATCGCCGCGTACACTTCTCCAGACGGTGCAACGCATTGATGGCAATGTGAACAGCGAGCGATTAATACAAGTTTCAAATAAGGAAACCAAGGAATAAGTCTCCTTCGATCTTCTAAACGAAGCGTTCGGTTTAGTACTAAATAAAGACTACGATGACTGGGATCCCACTCCATTGTATACAAAACAATAGCGGCTGATTCATCTTGAGTAAGTTTGTCGGCTGGATTTTCAGATCTACCTGTAGCTGTCCAGATGCGTACGTCAACATCATCAAGTAGTTCACGCAATTTTACAACAGCTTCTTTTAATGGTACAAGTGGTTCCTCTGCATAGCCGCGCAAAGGAGCAAGTACGTTCAGACGCCTTTCGTTAGCATCCGGAAGGCGAGTACTGGTATGGGTCATAGCGCTAGAAGTTGCAGCCATTTTCCTCGTGAAATCGATCTGTTACTTTTGTTCAATAATTGAATCCAACAAGTGTCAATAGAGTAAGACTTGCAATTTCATTTTGTACCTTGAATAGAAAAATAAATAGTGAAATTTCACTCATTGCCTACTCCATAGCCCTTCATTAGAACGACGTTCCTGTTTGCATTTCAAATTTTCAACAGCATGCATTGCTTTTTAATCGTAAAAAAGATATGCTACTTCATATAGGCCATAGCGTTTCAGTCGATATTTAACGATGATCATCAGCTGAAACAGGCCTATTCTTGCGCACTGGATTTGACTCGTCGACAACTACGAAATTGATTTACTTTCAATGTTGCAGAAAATGGGCGACTAGCCCAGTATATCCCAAGGCCAGTTTCGTGAAATTTTAAAAACGAGCGCTCAATTCAGTCCTAACTGGATTCAAATGTAAAAGAGATGGTGTCATATTAATTCTAATATAGAAAGTTTGTTACATCGATCACAGACTACGCCGGTATCATTTTCTAAAATATTTTTCGCCTGTTTCATTGTAGACTTAACCACTGATGAACAATCATGTTTGGCAAAAGTTTCACAACCTGCTTATTTTTGATCACTGAGAAATCCGAATTCGTAAATAGTGAAAAGTGACAGAAAGGATACTTCTATTGTTCCATTATCGTACGTATTTCGAGAAGCAGGAGTACATATTTTTTACTTTTTTTCGCGAAATTCACCTCTGTCAGTTAGCAATAGGTGATATCCCAGGTCAACGATTCCGACCTCCGAATTCTTGAGGAACCAGCCGGAAACGATGTTTTTTTCGGCCTTTTCCCGTCGTCTCCGGTGTCTTTCCGGCCGGAAAAATACTCGGAACATGGAAGCCGTATTCCGGCCGGAAATTTCTCGTACCCGGAAACGGAATGTTCCACTAATTTCGCGCTACCGGAAATCAACCGGGAAAAACTCGGAACCTAGCGGAACTCGCTGGAAACAGGTAAGGAACTCACTGTTTCCGGCCGGAAAATACATGAAAACCTGTTCGAAACTTTCTTCAAAGATGTCTGAAAAATCTTTGAAAGCTCTTTGAAAGATATATGAAAGATCTTTCAAAGATCATATTTTTCGAAAAAAATTTTCCCAAAAAAGATTTCGGGTGTCGTCAAAAAATTTATTTTTTTGGGAAAACGCCGGTTTTTGCATTAGAAAAAAATTTCCAAAAAACAAGTTTGCAAAAATAATACTTGAGGATGCCAGAGTTCGGGGCTGGGGACGGAAGATCTTTACCATACCGTTCCCAGTTACCTCGCAACGTAACGGTAACTTCACACCCCTATGTAGGACACGACATCAAGTCTGTCTTTACGCATTACCTGTAGGGATTGGAAAGAGTTTCAAATCGGATTGTGATAACTTACTTAGGTTCTTCGGGATTTTGGAAGAGTGCTTGCTGTGGGACACGACATCAACTCTGTCATTACACATTGCGTGTAGAGATTGTGAAGTAGCCGGGGATGGCGTGGCGGTTCTATGCATCTGATTACAGTCAGAGATTAGACGGTTCGATCCCTTCCCTCGGCATGGTGCATTCGGTGTCAAGATATATGGTATCGGAAGAATAAACAAAAGAAAAGCAACGATGCACGCTACATCGTCATCATTGACTCGAATTCGGTTTTCATTCTGTTCGTTTTCATTTCTTTGTATTCTTTCTCTGTTTGTTATCATTATCTTGTCCGTTGCATACATTCGTAAGCGTCCACCAAAATTGTAAAAAATCTCCCAAAAAGATTATGGATGTCACGAATAAAATTCAGCATAATTAAAAAAAAGTGATTGTGAAGTCTTTCAAAGATCCCTGAAGTCATAGAAAGATCTTTGAAAAGATTATGATAGATTTTGCACACTCTCCTAAAGATATTTGAAAGATCTTTTAATGCCTTTGAAAAGTGTTTGAAAGATCTTTCAAGGTCTGCGAAACCATGGGAAAGTCTCACAAAGACGTTTCAAGATCGGTGAAAGATCTTTTAATGTCTTTGAAAAGTGTTTCAAAGATCTTTCAAGGTCTGCGAAACTACCAGAAAGTCTCACAAGGATGTTTGAAGGCCGGTGAAAGCTCTTTCAAAGTCTGAAGAAGTCTTCCAGACATGTTTAAGTATTCTTCGAAGTATGTGAAAGATGTTTGAATGTCTTTGAAAGATCTTTCAAGGTCTGAGAAAGTCTTAGAAAGACGTTTGAAAGATGGCCTGAAGTCTCCAAAAGTCTTTGAAAGAGTTTTTCAAAGTCGCATAAAGATCTTTGAAAGATCTTTTGTGGTCTTCAAAGAGTGTTTGGCAAATATTTTAATGTCTGAGAAAGTATCAGGGAGACGTTTGAAGGTCGTTGGAGGATCTTTCAAAGTCTCAGGAAGTCTCCCAAAGATGTTTGAATGATCTTTCAAATATCTTTCAAAGGCGTTTGAAAGGTCGGATGTGGGCTATGTCAACGAAACGAAAAGAGGTGGGATATAACCGGATCCTGTGATCGGAACGAATCCCCGGAACCGTAGTTAGGAACGGTACCGGAAATGGCAGGTATACGACTCGGATCCGGTTAGAGTGAATTAGAAGAGAAAACTTAGTCGGGAACCGCACTGAAAACGACGGCCATATCCGAAGATCGCACCCGGAGGCAGGCATGAGCGGGAACTAAGCAGGATCCGGTTGCCAGATCCGATTTCGGAACACTGCTTCCAGGAATTGGCCGGAATTTCACGGGATCCGGCTGTTTGCCGCCGTACATCTTTGACCTGGGATCCTAACTCGTTTATGATAGAGAATTTTACGTTGGAAATCGAATATCGTGGGCTCGCAGTATCCTTGTGCTGCTTACAAGAGAAAAATAGGTTTTCGAGTAGTGATGCAGCAGTTTGTTTATAATCCACCTCAGTTTGGAAAAAAGCAGTAAAGAATAGATACAGAGCATATTGAAGAACATTTTTTGAGAAACCAACATATAAGTCAACCTATGTTGTATGACACAGCACTATGTACACTGATGTTTTTAAAATCAAAAGAGAAGGCAGGATGGTAAGAACAGACCAATTTTGATTATGAAGGGAGCAATGAGAACAATAATTAAATGTATGAAACTCAAGTGCTGTTGGAGATCAATAACAATGACTTTTGGAAAGACCTATAAATAAAAGAACGCACAAAACGGTACTGCTAATAATGTCAACGAGTGCTCCACTGCCTATCGAGGAGTATATGTATTCTGAAATCATCAAACTTAGTCCAAAATGTCTTGTTCTACGTCGTATTTGATGTGTCGTGAACTGCTCTTCAAAACGAACTGCGAGACTTTTTAATTCAAGAAGTCACCAAGTTAGGGCAAATTCTTTAAAAAAATGGATTTTGTAACTCTCTTCACAATGAACAGAACTATCTAGGCGATTGTTTGAAAACCTGATTTTTTAAAAAAATGACAGGATACGCCTATAGAACTATGCTATAGAATCAGAGGATGCCTTGATAACAATTGACTATTACCTCTATTGAAAAGTGCAGTATAGTCAAGCCGTTCAACAATTTTTGAACTAGATTTTGACTTTCATCCCAGACAGAGTTTATTTTATCTTCAGATTTGACAAGTCATAATTTCGTGTGCCATAAAAAACTTCATCGAATCTGCGCGGATATCACATGTTTTCAAACAATTATCATTAGTGAATGTAGAATGAAATATTATGGTCAATACATAGGTATCCAAAAGTGACATTGATACAGGGTGTCCCATAAGTTGTGGCAGATTTTTTTAAATCTAATTTTTGATGATAATGAATACAAATTAAACTCAAACTTACACATATGATACGGCTCAACGTGTACTTTTATTTCATATATTTTATTTGGATTAGATCATTGAATATACAAGAAAATAAACAAATTCAATGAACCTACCCTCAATTGACAAATATCAAAAGTCTGCATGTTTTCGCTACTTTGTTAGTTTTTTCTCCAATTACTATTCCTATGGGAGTAAGTTTTTACAAAAGAAATCATACATTCTGATAGCACTTGAAATTCTCTATGATATTATGTATTAATACAGTGTCTTAAATTTAAGTAGCGAAAAAAATGCAAATTTTTTGGGCTAGTCGATTCGGAGTATATTCATTGTATTCAATTTTATTTCAATCTATGAATGCAAGAAAATAAGTAAATAGACAGGGTGATAGAGAATTTTAAGCTCTGTCAGAATCTATAGTTACTTTCTCAAAAAGATTATTCTATATGGATGAAAAATTTTTAAAACTAGTTTTGATGACGAAGAAAAGGTCAAGTCTGGGAATCTGGACATGAGGGTACCTTCGTTGTCTTCAATTTATTTTGGTAATGAAAAGGTCAAAACTAAAACCTAATTCTACAGAGTGATAGAAAACTCCGCGGGCTTTCAGAATATGTAATTAGTTTCAAAATAACTTATTTTTATAGTGACAATATATGAGAAATACAGAGTGAAACTTTTTTGTCGGGGCATATATATTGTAAGACATTGATGGTGTGCTTATTCTGCACATGTACCAATTTCTTTATTTTTTTGTATATCCAATGATTTAATCCAAATAAAATATATGAAATAAAAGTACTGGTTAAGTTGTATGATACGTGTAAGTTTCAGTTTGATTTGTATTCATTATCATCAAAAATTAGATTTAAAAAAATCTGCCACAACTTATGGGACACCCTGTAACATTATTATTCTAATGATTGGTGGGACAAAGAACTTTTCATCTGAGTATGGATTTCGGTTAAAAAGTACTTAGAACATGTGCCAATTAATTTTGCTATTGAACCTTAAATTAATGAGAGAATTTGAACTTACATGGTTTGTTTTGCCTCGTGGCGACGTCATCATACGAATCAAGTTGTATGTTTTCTAACGAGATAAAATGTTCTTGTTTTACTTGTTAATAACACGAAACGAATTTTACTATGGATAGAAATTTAAGAAGTCATTAAAACAAGAGA